ACAAAGGCCATCTAGTCCAGCCCCATTCTGACATATTGTCTGCATCAGGTGACACCCTGAGGAGGGATGCCCCTGCCTCCATGTTCGCTGGTGTTAGGGACCCAGAACCTCCATGAAAGTGGAAAAACCACAAATAAAAAAACTTTTTTTCTTTTTTCCCAGGAGAATGCTTCTCTAGGCATTTATAGGACCACTCTACAATCAACAGCACAACATCTGGTGAAGGTTGGCCACAGAGTCGCGCTAGAGGACCTAGAGATTTCTAGAGAGAACATATTAATCAAATCTGCAAATAATCGAATCCGCAAAAGTCAAAGCCACAAGTGTGGAGCGCTGACTAAATCAATTCAGTTGTGAGGCAGGAAAAGGCAAGCAAGAGCCCCATTTCACCTTGCCTTTTCTCCTTCTGGAAAACTTATTTCCAGCTATATGTTGGCTGCTTGTGGTTATTAATTTTTTTACTGCAATAGGTTTGGAATATATTTTTTAAAAAATTGTGTTCTTTTTACATTTTATACTGATTTAATTGATTTCTTTGTGAGCTGCCTTGGGTCCCACTCCAGGAGAAACGAAGCATATAATTGAAGTATGTACAGCTTTTGGAGGGAGGCTGAATAGTGAGGTTTTACTTAGAAGGAAAAGACACCTTCAGTCATGGTGTTGGTCTTCAATACAGAGGAGGGTAGGAGCAAATTTCTAGCATGAAACTGAGCATTCAGCTCGAGCTCCTCCAGTTCAAGGAAGCATTCCTCATGCCTCTCTCACAAAACATCTTTCTTTACTTTCTAGGACTTGGTGTCCCCCGCCTTTTGCTTTGAGGCAGGATCTGGCAATAGGCCTCTTTGGAAGCTGCCTCGGAGCACCAGTAAAAGATGGAAAATAAATGCTCATCTGGCCCTGAGTTAAGAAAAGGTCTTCTACATCTTCCAGCTGGGAGCAGTGGGAAATTCTTCAGAGCAACCATGCAGAAGAGCCTGACAGAAGATACGTTCCATTCAGAGGTACAGCCGGAGTACTTGAAGGTCTGCTACAAGGAGGCTGAGGGCCCCCGAGAGATTTGCAGCCAACTCCACGCTCTTTGCCATCAGTGGCTGAAGCCAGAGAGACACACCAAAGCTCTGGTCCCAAACCTGGTGATCCTGGAGCAGTTCCTAGCTGTCCTTCCCCCAGAAATGGCAACCTGGGTCAGGGAATGTGGGCAGAGACCATTTGCCAGGCAGTTATCTGAGCGAAGGTTATCTCCTGAGCCGGGCAGAGGAGGAAAGGTAGGAGGTGGGAGAGAGTTTTGTCCTAGTAATTTCAAAAATACATTTGTCCCTCTCCATTCGTGGACTTGCTGTCTGCGGTTTTGATCCTTTGCAGATGGCAAGCCAGGAGGCAGCGCCCGTGCACAGGAACATGCAACCATTATAATCAATGGGGACTTGAATATTTGCATTTTTTCTGAT